CAAATAAGATATCATATATTTGGTTAAATTGGTGTATTTTTGGTTAAGAAAATCGATTTATGTATACCTTAAAAAAAAGTTATCGAGAATAAGATAAAAACTTGAAATCTATAGAAATAGACTAAAGTTAACCAAAATACACCGATTTTTGTCCTAAAAAGCCCACTATTGTATTACTGAAGTAACTCTCGTTGTGGTAGACGAGTTTTTAGATTTGTAAATAAAGTTCTACAGTGGTGCATCAGAAAAATTTCATACCCAATGTTATCGAGAAAATTTAAGTAAAAAACTGTCTGGAGACTTTTGTCTACCCATGATTGCTATGGCAGATATCTCTTTTGTTTAGCAATAACCATTATGAATATAGTATTTCCATCACAATTACCAAGCCCTGTAAGAAACTAATGATTTCAAAATTTACAGTACTGGCGATTAAATGTGGATAATTTTTATTATTTTACCCAGTGCAGTGCTTTTATGCAAAATTGCAACAGTATGGAAGTTTGCTTTAATATTCGATTAAAGCAGCAAATATCAATTGTATTTAAACACATATGTGCAAGTTGAACAGTGATAATCATGTTAGTAGTTTAAGTTTATTTTTTTGCTAGTTTATACTAATTTAAGAAGTTATGCATCGCGCGAATGTTTTGCTTTGGCTAGCTCATCCGATGCAGTTGGCATATTATATTCCCTTATTATTATGTATCCTCCTCAATTTCATCTTTAGACACTCCAGTATCCCCTCAAGCACTTTATGATGCTATTAAGATTAAAGAAGACCATTCTTCTCCCGGTCCTGATGGCATTCCATTACCATCCTTATACAAAAGAAAAACACAGACCTAAGATCCCAGATATGTCTCCAACCTCTGTTTCAAACCATCCTTTCTAACCATTTCCAACAACATGCTCACTCCCTTATTAAACAGGTTTTATGAAAAATAGATACATATACTGTATAATACTATCCTTGACATTAATTCTTACCTTACACAACCCCCCTCTAGAAAGTCCATAGACTGATCCAAAGCCTATCCCATTCATGGCTCTATATTCTTCAACAATCCTTTTTCCCTCCTTCTTTCTTTCTGTACCTATCAAAATTAACAACACCGCCCTTTTTTGCTCCTCTCCTTTTTAATCTCTCCATTCAACCTCTCCTCAACCTCATCTAATCTACTCCTACTATGACATTTAGAGCTTATTGTTTGGTGGATGGATTGCACTGCGCCAGAACCACAGTATATGATATTGAATGCTGCTTCATAGTCATGACCTTGTTTTTGGTGAGTCTCTGAGTACAATCACAAGATTGATGGGGAGACCAGGGCAATGATCAAGTGGCCATATGGAGTAAAAAACTGTGTATTGCTTGACAAAGCTCATGATCTCGTTTGGCTAAAAATACTTTGGGAAAAGAACAATTGGTATTATGAAAGTATATAACCGCAATAAATAATAGAAGATACATTCTCCCTTACGCGCAAGTTCTGACACTCGTCTGATCCAAGTTCTTTATCAATATTGAAGACTCTTCGATTCTTCCGAAAAAATTTTTTCTCGATAAAATTATATTTGTTCCCTTTATTATTGGAACGCCATGAAATAATTTCGTACCAAAAATACATTAGTCTGAGAAATAAAAATTCGGGGTATATATTATATATTCACTTTTATACAATATCTGGATTTAAGAATTTTTCTCTCATAATTTAGGCAGCTTTCATATTCAATAAACTTGTTACAATACAAATTCTTGTTTACAGGGGCAGCGACTGGCAGGCCGCAACGTGCCACCAACCCCCCCTTCTAAAATTAACAAATAGGATAAAGTTCTATTTTTTCTATATACGATATCAATCTTCAGTGCTTGATAAAGATGAACTGCTACCACTACTACTATTCCCATCATCCGCCTGATTATTCTCATCCTCCTCCCCCAAGTAACTTCCAAGAGATATCGGCCCTCCGCGAGGCTTTCCTGAATTTTTCTATGCAAAAGAGAGGGAGAACATCAACATACATTAATAATCTACAGTCATAGTTCAATTCTTTCAACGAAAATTCTTTATGCCTGTACTTACTGAACCCTCAAACCGTTTTGCATTTTCTATAACTCTTTGGTTGACAGACTTGTTTCCAGTGGTGCGACCACTTGACTTTTCCTTAATTCCAGTTTCTTCCTTGTCCTGATGGTTGACCTTGCTTTCATTCTCCAGATCTTTAATTAGCATATTGGCTAGATCTTCTTCTGAATCATCGTCAGAGTCGTCAGAGGCTGACTCTTCACTTGAAGTACCAGTAGCGCCGGCAGACAAGGTAGAGTCGTCGTCATCTTCCTCTCCACTTGTTCTATCTCTCTGTCGTAGCTCATCAGCCCTGAAAGGATGTTCAACTTCTTCTAATTCGTCTTCGATGTAGACATCCTTAAATTCGTCTCCATTCTCGATGGGCACATCTTCTTTCTTAATCGGATTATCTTCGTCGTCAGATGAATCCAAGTTATCCATTTCTCTGTCGAATGCCTCGGCTATTTGACGATAATTCGAATCATGCTGAGGCGAGTTGCGATCTTGGGGCGATGGAAGTTCGCTCTGGTCTTGGTGTTTAAAAGTGATGGTTTTGTCAAGAAGTTCAAGGGTCCAGTTCTGGAAGAACACAGATAATTACGAAAAGTAATTTGAATGGCGATGTGTCGGTATAACAAAATAATGGATGAGAAAGCATTACAAAGGTACTGTAACGTAAATACAACTATAAAACCCTCACAATAATATACCTGCGTTTTTTCATCGAATATCAAGAGAGCTTGTCGTCCCGCTTCTTTTGGCAACTCTTCGTTATTTACCTTACCGGTCAGTATATGTTTATCTGCAGATTTCTATCCGAACAACGAAGGCGCGTTAATCATTTTAGGAAAATGATATTAAACAAATCATACAGAACAAAACCAACCGTTAAGCTTTCATACTCGGCACGATATGTACCACCATCATCATAATGTAATTTGCCTGTCCGTTTGAAATTTATTTCGTTTAACTTGTATTCGCCGACTATATATATATAGTTTCGAAAAAAACAAAATATTGGGTTGGTCATTTTTACTCAAAAAAGCGTAATTTGCGAATTATTTATATAATGTGCCTTATTCAGTTTTAAAATATCTCTACAGACGCTTTCATATTCTCTTATTCCATTCCATTCCACTCCATATCATTTTATTTGACCCATACGATGAAACCTATAATAAGCGCTATTTGTCTTCTCGTTAGCGAAAGTAGCGCCAAGTATCAGGGGTCGTTCACCCTCAAAAGCTGCAGTTATGTCGTGTATTTCCGCTTGTTCAGAGCTCATAATTTGTAGTATGTGTAAAGAGGGAGAACCTCTGCATACTAACATAATATCTAGGAAATTGTATTCATTGCTTGCCAATCAGAGTTGTAATGATTGAATCACATGTTCTATAGTCTAGAGCGTATGTTTAAATGACTCACGTGATTATAGAAGCTCATGCAACAACTTTACTTGATATTACAAGCTTTTATACAAATTACTATTCACATTTTCTCTCATAAATCATTTATTCATATCATCTAACCTGACGCAAATAGATTAGGATTTACGCTTCACTATACGCTGCAAGTTGACCAGTGCTCTCGTAATAGGCAAGGATCTTGGCTGACGATTTGGCATCATAGAACAAAGTCTTGGTTTGAGTGATATCATCCAAAGAAATATTTTCGCGTCCATTTGTTCGAGCAAGTATGCTTGCTGGGGTGAGAAGCTGAATGACATATCTACAGAATGATGGCGGATAATTAGTCCAAATCGACTAAACAGGCGTTAGAAACATCTGTTTTCATACCGCAATGATGTTTGTGCGCCGCACTCAGCCATGAATTCTAATGCTTCATTAGCTAATATCAGTCCTTCTGTCTTGGCACGTATTTGTACTATTGCCTTGATTTCTTCTGGCGTATATGGTTTGGTTCTTATAATGAGAATGCGGTCGAGTAGATCAACTGGGATACCATGCGGCGCTCGAATATCCTCGGTTCCCCTAATAAATTGTTATAAAACGGTTTAGTAACCTTGCTATTTTAGTTGACGATTATTCCGACTAGTAATTTCCGACTTGCCTCACTTGACACATTCCGCGGTTAGTGGCGAAAATCACGATAGGCGAGAATTGCGATTCAAGAGCTTTATTAAGATATGTAAAGCACTCAATGTCCAACAAATGCACTTCGTCTATGAAAAGAACTCCAGGCACCAGTTCAGCAATTCCCTGATCTATATACTTGTTCACGGCTTTATTAACCTCTCTTCTAAGTTTATCGGTAATTTCTGTTTTTTTTGGTTTCAGCAGCTGACCCATCATGGACATTATATCTTGACCGCCCTAAGAAAATAGAATAGATTGGGATTAGAACGTACTCCAAGAAGCATAACAAGAGTCTTAACAATAAGTAAAAGATTCACACCTGCGGCCGTGCATTCGCGACATCCAAGTCGTGTAAAGTAATATCTTGTACAATTTCTTTTTTCTTGTGGACTTCCCCCTTTGGCAATGGCACGTACTCTTCAGCTTCAAGATCAAATTCTGTAGCGTATGCATCTGATCTACCTACACGCTGTTACGAGACCCATGTTTTTTTTTAGTTGCAGTACCAGTACAGAACACCAATTTGACGTAAGACGCTATACATACCTTTACTGCACCAGTATTGGCTTCGATATAAATAACGTCTCCAACAGTAACTCGCTCTTTCATAAGACTTTCGTATATGCTTGGATCCAGTTTTAACTGCTTCGTTCCTTTGACTGTTTTTAATCCGATTATGACATGTGATAATGTCTTCCCGTATCCTCCAAGAGGATTTTCTACTTCCTCGGGTGTCATTTCAGTAACTTCTCCTTCATAAACTTCCTTAGTTTCTTTAATTCGTAGGCCTAAAATTTTCCATGTTATATTAATGAAAGAAAAAGAACACCAATTGCTCGAATTACGCAGTGAATTCCATAAATGTCTCACCAATTGCCCTTCTGAAATTCTCCATAAGTACCTCGGTCTTCTTGACTTCTGAAGAATAAACCTCACTCCCAACCATTGGACAGAAGGGAACCTTTGGACCAAGCTCCTGCGCTACTGCAAGAGCTATGGCTGTTTTTCCCGTACCCGGACCGCCAGCGAGAAGTAACGCCCTCCCGGCCATTTTTTTTGCTTTTATCAAATCAACTATGATCCCACATGCCTATAAACGCGGAAATCAGTTGAAGACGGTAGAAAACACGGGTAGGTTTTAATGATCTAATTTGTGGAAAAAAACGTTACTTCTCGTGCGGCCTCTTGCCCGACAAAGCCGTCAGCTTCTGATTGTGCAGTGCCGTCGTCAAGGAGGCCAAGGCCTTTTATATGTGTGTGAAGGGCTATGCGTTGTTCGCGTGCTGTGCTTTTTTACTTCTTGGATCTTCATTTATGTACAGAGAGGAAATCAATGATCAAAAATTATTTGGAAAATCCGGGCAGTTTGGATTGAACTGGCCAATCATTCGATCGACACGAGCTTTGAGGCTTTATGTTATACTAATACCAACTATAAAATAACTGCTTTAATAAACGAAAACTGAGTCGTCATACTGCATTCCACCCGATCAACAATTCTTGGCTCAGCTTGTTCCTATCTCTTCATTGCCTTTATCGAAACTCCTCGCTTCGGGATGCCTCAAGAGCAACCAAAACTCCACGATCCTTGGGCCCGTCGGGAGGCCTGGAGACGTCATCCTATGTTCTCTGGACGTCAGCAGATACGACATGCGTTGCCGGGAGTTACCTGGGGTATCGGCGCTTTTTTGATATATGTTGCAATCGATACTTTTGCAAACAGAAAAGTTCATCCGACTGAAACGCATAGCGTGAAATAACGGGAAACATAACGGTTAGAAAGATTTGTAATGTGCTAAGTAAACTTTCGCACCTAGTACACAAAACGGTTTCTTCGTTGTTACTATGCTATAAATACTGACATGTGCCTCTTCAAGTTTAGGTAGCAGTGAACTGGTAACAGTAATATGGACAGGCGCTGGACAATAAACAGTTTGTTATTACCAATAACCATAGATAAAGTTTATTAGTCAAATTGGTAAAGAAAATGTAGCGCTTTGTTATTTAACTACTGTAATTCTATACATTATTTCTTGTATTGGATAAATATGAGCCAAAAGAACTTGGGAGGTAACGACAATCGTCTGGATATACATTCCAATTAGATCGTTCGCTTTCGTCAAGAAGTAATATCCATTGTCATTAATGATATAATTAATAGTATGGACCCCTTCTTTCATCCAACTCGGTCATAACTGTCCGAAGCATACTATTTAAACTATTAATGATTATGTATTTGGCCTCAGCTCTTTTTTTTACTCCTAATCTCCCCTTTTGAAAAATAAAGCTTTCTATACTCTTGTACTAAAGAATATGCTGGGGGGGCATTAATATCCCATCCACTACCTCCTTCTATCCTTGCAAAACCATCTCAGACAATTCAAGTTATGAGCAGCAATTTTAAGCAATAAATATTTGACTCTAGCTGAAGATTACTTAGATCACTATCATTTTTCTAAAATTATTCCAAGTACTGTTTGTCTTTCTTGGCTTACCAACGGTTTCTTTATGCGACCCTGCTAGCAGAATATGCCGCAGAGTTTATTTTTTTTTACTGATATATTAACAGACTTTATTGGATACACGTCGATCGAATAAAATTTTACCCAGTAATCTTTATTAACACGTAATTCACTCTATGAAAAATTCATAAACTTTTTTTTTTTGTTTGAAGGCTAAAGAATTCTAGTGTTTTTTTTTTATATATATGTTTTAAGACAATTTCAGTGAAAAATGACAAAAATTCGAGAGTTGACTAATTTTGACTGTAGCATTGAAACAAAAGCGTTATTGTTTGGGGATGTTTTACAAAAAAAAAAAAAAAAGACTTGGTCCCTTAGCAGTGTTGATGAATCAATTACGGGCAAAATATAATGCTGTTAGAAAAGCGTTTGTAATTGAACGGAAAGAGAAGAAGTTGATTGCCTCTCTTCCATGGCCTACACCTTAATCCAATTGAGCATCAGCGATCTAGAGAATTGGTAAAGAGTAGAGTCAGCGTGTGATTACAAATAAAGGGAATCCCGCAAAATATTAATCTAGAATTCAAACAATTCATATTTCGACGAACGTACTGAAATAAGTTTATTATGTGTTGTTAATACTGTTATCGCATAAGCCATTTCGAATTCCAAGTGAAATTTTACGTATGATTAACTGTGGCTCATCTTTTTGGTTGTCTATGGAGCAAGGCTATCTCCGTATAAGCGAGTCGGGGGCAGTCATGAGTCTAGGTAAGTTGAATTTTGTCTTACTTTTAATTTATATTAGTGTTAATGATAATTGTGTCTGAAATAGCAAACTCGAGCATGTTACGCATATTACTGTAAAAACCATGTACATTTGGCAAAAACATTTACGATATTAAAATGTAGATAACAAATAATGGTTGCATTGATTTCTATCAGGCAAGAACAATTTATTCCATAGAAACGTCCGATGGATTCTAAGTTTTTATAATTGTGTCATGCAACTGATTAACTCTGGACTCGTTAATAAAATTCTTAATACCTAGAATTATATGACAAAAGTATTCTAAATCGTCGATGACCCGAAATTCGAAAAATCACAAGTCCACTATAATAATTACCAATGACCGATTTTTTAAACAATGATGTAGACATGCTTTGTGCTAATTATTCAAGAAGCTGTAGCTTTGAATTGTAAGCTTTCCCTTTCCATAATTTGAATGTTCTGACTTGCAAATTCCGTTACTATGTTGTTGCAGTTAGTCGACATAGACAACGTATAAAAATAAATCGCGCCTAATATAATATTTATATGTGAAGGCCAATAAGCAGTTTATGTACTGCATATCGATATATTTACTTCGCGCAATAATTTAATGTAGATAGTTCCGCATTATTAGTAAAGAGAGTCAGAATGAGACAAATGTTTTGAATCAGTATAACAAGCGATCACACAACAAAAAGATAACAAATAACATTTTTTACTCAGCGTTTTGGGTGTCACCTTGCGTGCGTGTGATGTAACACAATAAACGTTGAGAATGTTCTCTCTGTACTTGAAAACTTCTTATTCAAACGATGTCATTAGTTCCAGGGACTGTTAATAATCCAGAAATTGATAACTTGGTTCAATCCTCCTTGGAAAGTGAAAATAAATACTTAAGACTTGAATGGATCCCTTGCTCGCAAATTACCGACGTAAAGCCAACTCAAATTGACAATGTTCATTATGCTATTTACAAGCAAACGCTGGATGGTAGAGTCAAGGAAATGACGATAATGCTTTCACTACTTGGAAGTAATGAAGAATGTACGCAAACACTTGTGGGTGAGTTTGCTAGAATATACTCACTTCCAACACACGAGTACGATAATGATGTCAGTCAATTCAGAAGATATAAGAAATGGCTTGAATATCGCAACGAACTAATAAAGGGTTTTACCAAATGCGATAATAACTATTACATGGTTGCTGATAAACGCTTTTACCATTGTTATTCCCGCTATGGGTTCTGCTCTAAATGTCGAATACTCCGATGTAGTCCTGTGTGGTGCATTTGCAGTCATAAACAATTACCGTAGAGCACTGAATATAGTACCCCCCTTAAATAGTATCCCCCTAAATTAGGACCCGGGTACAATTCAGGAA